AAAAAAAAAAAAACAAACAAAAAAACAAAAACAAAAAAACAACAACAACAAAGCAAAACAACACAAAAAACAACAACATTGTGTTGTCCCCCAGAACAGTTCCTCTAGGAAATCAATGCAAGGTGTCTATATATAGGGAATTTCTTCCGTCTTAGGCCATAGTTGGATTCGACCAGGTGATATCCTGTATTGTCATGTAACCTTGACGACGTTGACGCTTCGAGCATGACCCTGTAATCCTCAGCTATTGTTACGAACCGAATATCAAACAGTGTCGACAAATAACGAAAGCTTGAATATTGAAAAGGCAATCAATATTTATTTTATTTTCTCGCCTGTGGCAGAATAGACGCGCCATGAAACTTTTACTTTGATATATCGTCTGGATTCGAATTATCGTCACACTGAAGTGAAGGAAGGCTGCCATGAATGAGACGGATAATGGCTGGGATGAAGTTGAAAGCCTCATGTCAATGTCTGATGCTACGATTTACAGCAGTACTCAGAATGATGCTGTGAGTATTGCTGATTCTCAAGACATTGATAACGAGTCAGGTAGCGTACAAGACAACGAAATGGTCGTTATAAAGGAAGACAACGATGAATACGAAAAACATGGCGAACAGCAAGATCGTCGAAGACCACACAATCAAAAGAGCACTAAAGGTCTTAACCACGGAACTAAAATTCCCGAACTTCAGGAGCTTAAAGGTTTGAGTTTAAGCTCGACCGACGAAGTAAAAACTATAAAAAATGAAAACATTAATGACGATTTGCAAAATTCGAATGATATCGACTCTCCAGGTGAAAAGTCCAGTGAAGAGGAAAAGTTGGAACCGGATAATTTGGAACCGGAAGAAATGCTGGATGGTGGAGCTGAAGAGCTTCCTTTTGTGAGATCCGTCAAGTATCTTGAGAAACATGAAATCTTCAGGCTTTTTCAGGTAGTTGAAAGTTCTTTTAATTCTGAAAGTGATTCCTAGAGTGCAAAGACTGCACGCACTAAACTCGTACACAATAATTAGTGCTAATTAGTACTATTTCGTACAGAATCCTTTGTTTTCTGTTGTTTAGTTATCACAATTTAGTGCTAAAAATTAGTATTTGTTTCACGGGTTTAGTGCGAGCACTCTATATCCGTGAAATAGCACAAAACATGCACATGTATTTCTTTTGTTTTTTGTTTTTATTGCTATTTTGTACTAAAGTAGTTTAAACACTTTCACATTACTGAGATTGGCAATCAAGTGGCTTTCTCTCCAATCAAAATGCAAAAATAGTGTGCACTATCCAATCACAACGCACCAGGAAGCGAAAGCCATTTGAAAGTCGCGCGCATTACATTTCATTGTGGAAGCATTTCAATGCACAACGAGAGGAAATTTCGTAATATACAGCTATTTCAAAAATTAACGTTGGCCAAGGTTTGCTATACATGGTACATTTTGTAAATAATGTCAGTACACAAGAATAGTTTGGGAAAATTCCATATTGTTGTGACCTCTCGCTGATTTTATTCACATTGCTTATATTGCATTTTGGGCTTGCTATCCAACATGCAATTCAACTGCAATAAAGCCAGCCTTTTTTCAAACCGTTCAACTCAGTTATTTAGAATATTTCATACTTTACAATTTTCAATTAGTTTTTCTTACCAACATTTTTTCATCACAGGGTCTCGCTGCGGACATTGTCTACCGGCGCCCACATAATCCTCTGCAGTTTATTGTGGATAAACTAGAGAAAGAAAAACAAGAAAGGAATACAGCTGAAGATACGAACACTAACGAAGACGGCCAATCAAGTTGATCTTTAGATATCTTATGCGCATTATTGTTTGCGCACTGTGTGTACAAAGAAGCTGCAAAGTGCTATTGGATTATTAATGATTTATTATTGATTATAACACCCTGGAACTAATCCTAACTCTAACCTATCCAAATGCAAAAAAACCTAACCTTAGACTTTATTACGGAATAGTGCAATTTCATTTAGTCTTACCGGAAGTAGTAAGAAGCCAGCGGAATGTAACAAGTCGCATTGCGCAAGCGCAATAGTGTTGATGATCTATATTCTTGCGTCGATTTCCGGGGTTGAGGAAATCATTGCAGTGTATTGTCATCCTGTCTTAGAGACATATTTTAAAATAGCGGCTATTTCGTCCCCTGTACACTACAATGCACTGCACTGAAATGCAACTCGCCTTTCATTCAACCTCGGAATGGTTTGGTGAAACTTGTGATACTATTRCATAGAGCTCAGTCTGGGCCAATTACATCCAAAAGGAACCCATTTTCCCAAAATAAAAGCCAATAAAATAAAACAAACTAAACTATATTTAGTTAAGAAGTGTAGTTTTGAATAAAAAAGAAGATTCCTCTGCTCCTTTCAAAATTTACTTATAATTAACATTATTGGCAAGTTTTTTTTGGAAGAATAGCTTAGGACCATACCTCCAGACCCAGTGCTGAAGCGCAGTATGGCAGCGCGAAACATTTACGGCTATGCCGGAGATTTCGGCCCCGACACCGCTATCCCTGGATTTACAGGCTGATCAGGAAGCTCGGCCGAAGCCTAAGGGAGAGGTTAGTCGGCCCCTAGACCGTGGATGATTAACCCCTTGCTATGACCAGCATACCCGATGAGTCGATTGCGTCGCTAATGCCTAAGCACCTATATGTAACTCCTTTCCATGTGGGATGCCTTTTGAAAAACATTCCCGCTCAAGCATGTTAAAGCTTGGTATTTTACCGGTTTGTTGAAGAAACATATTTGGTTTTAGAATTGAGTTTTGGTTCCAAAGTGATATTTCGGTTTCTTAAAATATTAAGCATGGCCTTTTCGACTTCCGGTGGTCGCTGGTGAGAAATTCGAGATAAAATCGCATGCGCACTGAAAACGATTCTTAAACTATGAACGTTAACTGGCTTATTATTGTAGCATTTTTGGTGAAATGTGCCACGTCCCACCAGACGGTACTCTTTTACAGACTGTACCGCTTGGAAGGACAAACCACCTAAATTGTTGCAATCGTTTCAAAAAAAAAAGAGAACACTTTTCCGTCTAGACCTTTCCAAAACCTTTTTTATACTCCAAGTTTATATGTCTTTGTTAAAGCAAAAAAAAAAAAAAAAAGGTGTGGGTGCTTCAAAGCTCCTTTCACTGGATGTGATCTTAACTTCCAAGGTTCCTCCACTGGATGCGATCTTAGCTTCAAAGGTCCTTTCACTGGATGTGATCTAAGCTTCAAAGGTCCTTTCACTGGATGTGATCTTAGCTTCAAAGGTCCTTTCACTGGATGTGATCTTAGCTTCAAAGGTCCTTTCACTGGATATGATCTTAGCTTCAAAGGTCCTTTCACTGGATATGATCTTTAGCTTCAAAGGCCATTTTACTGGATGTGATCTTAAAGACAGTCCCGCCATATTCGGGAGACATCCGCAGAGCTGAGGCGTCGTAATTATGAGGTAGTGGACCTGACGCACACTCGCACCCATTCGTCACTCACTCACCCTTTTTTAATGCGCGCAAAGGCTTTTGGAAAGGAGAAAAAAAAAGACGCTTCACTTTTCTCTTCTTTTCTTCCCTCGATACACCGCGAACTCACTAAATCCTTCCCATCAACTACAGCGTGAGACCAAAAAAGTGCACAAAACGAGAAAATTTGGGTTATTTTAAGCACTTTAAAACTTTCATGGTAAAAAATGCCAAGGACAGGAAAACATACTAATTGATGGTTAACTTTTGATAGTAAATCAAGGAAGACAAAGAAATGAAGTATTAACCTACATGTAAAAGAATATATGGTAGTTATGGTCTAGGACACTATTTATGCTACTACATAACGTACTAACCTATTTTTGGAAGTCAGAACCAAAATAACCCTTTAACAATGGTTTGAAAATTCAATAGAACAATCTCTTTGCAGTTACGGCTTCTGTTTGGAAGCAGCTTGAAGTCTAATTTTTGTAATACTAAAAAACAAAAGGCTTTGGAAACCAAAAGAATAGCCGTTTGATTTGATGAATTCTTAATTGACGGGCTGGCTGTGCTTTTACTACGAAGACATGCGCGTTTTATTACAGTCTTAGTCCGCGTGCATTCCCACGAGGGTTCGAAAAACAAAYCATATTGTTTCTGGTTTGATCTTGGAAAAGAACTGCTAAAGAGCTTCTTATTCTTAGCAAGCCCTGCTCTAGGAATCAGAGTACAAGTAGATCTGAAGGATTTCTCGATCGTAAAGACCTGTTGACTTACAGTATTTTGAAAACAAGCTGTAGTAAATATTCTAATATTTACTAACTCCAGTTCAAGCTCAGAGGTAGATTTGTGGAGCTTCAGACTTCATAAGCATAGGCTTCTTGAACACAAAAGATCTGTTATATAAATATTCGCAATGGGGTCAACATCTAGCCCAGATAAAACTAGCCAAAGCGTCAACTACTTGATCAGTGGCCACACAAGCTACGTTCCCGAGGATGGACTGAGCGCTTCAACGTTGTTTACTGGCTCCGAAGGCTTGACATACGACGATTTTATCATTCTACCCGGATATATTGATTTTACTTCAGACGATGTTGATCTGTCTTCAGCGCTGACTCGAAATATTACGATCAAAACACCGTTTGTTAGTTCTCCGATGGACACCGTGACGGAATCGAACATGGCTATCGCTATGGCTTTACATGGAGGGATAGGTATATAATTACTCGATTCATTCTTAGATTCATAGGATTTTGAAACAGAAGTTATAGAATACTGTAGATCGTATCGTGACTTAGTTGCGTCATCCTAGATGTATGCTCTTAATAAATTCATAATTGATTGTCGTGAGACCTGCTGGGATTAATGAAAATTAATATGGTTTAAGTGATGCTAAGTAGGCCTTGAGAATATCCATATTTCCCCTATGGAGTGGATTACAAATTTTTAGGAGCTTGTAGTGGATATATTGTGTACTTTCAAAAAATAACCATATTTCCCCATAGAGGGGGATTGGAATTTCTAAGTTTCATTGAGATGGGTATATAGTGTAGTACCAGAAGTAGAAAAAATAAATATGCCTTATTTTACTAGGCTAGTAACATTGTTAAAACACAGAGGATTGTTTACAGTGTGGCCCTCACTTTCTGATCAAATTGGAACTTAGTTGATTTTTTCGGAGGGACGAAAACCAGAGAACCTGGAGAAAAACCCTTGAAGCACAGGAGAAAACCAACAAACGACTCTACTCACGACACCAAGCCCGGCAGGACTCAAACCAATTTGTGCATTCAAATTATAACCAATGAGAATTCATGTTATATTGTAAATGAAGTCTGTTAATGCTCAGCTTTGTAATTGTTTTGCATAATTCCAGGAATAATCCACCACAATTGCAGCATTGAAATGCAAGCCAATGAAGTAAGACAAGTAAAGAAGTTCAAGCAGGGTTTCATAAATGATCCAATAGTGCTGAGCCCTCGGCATACCATCCGAGATGTCATGGAAATCAAAGAAAAATACGGGTTTTCTGGAATACCATTAACTGGTAAGCTAGTACCAATACTAAAGATAGAAAATGACAGTGTACGACATTGTGAAAGTCGATCTGTAAGACTGATTCCTGCACATTTGTATCAAACCCGTGACCTTAATTAATGAGGCTCTAATATTTGTTTTGCCATTGAAAAATCTTAAGCTCTATTTCTTCGATTTGCTGAAATCCAAGGCTTTCAGACACAGAAATCGGGAAACATGGGTGGCATAGCAGTGAGAGCGCTCACCTCTCACCAATGCGACCCGGGTTCGAGCCCCGACGAGCTCAGTGTTGTATGTGAGTTGAGTTGTTTGTTGGTTCTCTCCTGTGCTTGGAGGGTTTTCCGGGTTCTCCAGTTTTCCTACCTCCGCAAAAATCAACTTCCAAATTACAATTGGAATCCAGTGGAAGAAGAGCCACTCTGTGAAATCCACTGTTAAATCCCATTATTATTATTATTATTATTATTATTATTATTGATAATCTTGAGTGGATTCTTGCAGGGCCCTGAGTTTTGCAATATAGCCTGTGTTACATAAAGCAAGCCCTATTTACCTGAACCTATATAGCTGGTCGTGGTATGAAATTATAAATTCCTTATTTTTGTAATTTAACATTTTTAATTGATTCTCAATTTTTTAAATCTCAGAAAATGGCTGCATGGGCGGAGAACTAGCTGGCATTATTACATCGAGAGATATCGATTTCCTCACACCCAATCAATTCAACTCTCCCATCTCAGAATTCATGACACCCATGGCTAGTTTGGTGTTTGGAAGGGATGATTGTACTCTATTAGAGGCAAATGAAATCTTGCAAAAAAGCAAAAAAGGGAAGCTGCCGATAGTGAATGAAAATATGGAGCTTGTGTCTTTGATTGCTTATTCTGATCTCAAGAAAAACAGGTATGTTGTTTAAGGTGGCTGCCTGCTTTTGAACGTTCGATTTGAGCCCACGATGTACGCGCGCTCAAAAACCGCTGAAAAATCTACAAGATTTTATTGAAGAACCATATGCGTTTTGAGCTTCAACAGGGCAAAACCCTCAAATTTTGCACGGGACTTTATATTTTTTGATAGCTCATTTGAAAAAACTCCTAAAAATCAAGGTTATATCAACATTTTAGGAAAAGTTTAAATCAGGAACACGTGAAAAAATAGATTTTTGTTCGACTTTATGAGATTTTTTAAGAGCACCAAAACTACAAAATGTGACAAATCAATGTATCTCTCTGTCTTTTTGTCAAAAATATCCATGTATTATTGTAGAAGGATTGACAAGCCTTCGTTCGTGCAATCATATAGTCTGTAAATAACTATTATCTTATGAATCTTAATTTTTTTTCTAATCACTTCTGGTGGCGCAATTTTTACTCCAAAAGCTCGTGTGTAGGCTCCCATTAAATGCTGATTATCTCGAAAACGAGCTCGGGACACCCTATTTTTCTTTCCAGATTTGGAATCAGCATTAAATTTCAATTCGGAAAACCGAAGTTTTAAGAAAAGCTTAAATCAATTTCCAAAAGTAGGCAGTCACCTTAAGTTTCTAGTATTGCACTGTATACACCTATTTCGAAAAACRTTGTTGGTTGGATATCTGAAATCAGAAATCTGAGACCGACTGAAATTGTGGGGAACTGAGTGTTTTCTCGTTACAAATTTTATATACACTTACCCAGATAGTTTGCCAGTGCAGGTCATCGCTCAAAGCTAGTATATCAAGATATTGACTTTTTGTGAACTACTAATTAAAACCACAAACGATTTACAGCTTACAACCCACAATTCCTTTTGGTCTCAGATTTCAGATTTCCGACCGACAACGTTTTTTGACATAGGTGTATAGGACTTTTGGATTTTATCTTAGGAGGTAATATCCTTTCCAATACCAAAGATTTTCAGTTGATTTTTTACAGCATTATTGGCGGTTGTTCATGTAATGTGTGTACAATGGTCTACGCTTGTGTTTTCATACCTGTTATACTTTTCAACTTTGGCGGGTAACCAGAGGTAAAAACTACACCTATTTTGCTGAAGGCTGATCAGACAATGTTGAAAATACCTTGTCTTATATCCAAATATAAAAGGAAACAATAAGAAACAGAAACAGATAGAATCTTTAAGAAGTTCATAATAAATTTTAAATATTTCTTCGCAAGTTACTGCAATTTCACAAACATGCAAACTCTGTGTCTCCAAGTTGCGTGCTGGTTTTTTGCTGCTGCCAGTCAAAGATATGAAAGGTACTGAATGATTAGGTTTGATTGACAGCAGCGAAAAACTGAATTTCAGAGTTGCATGTTTATGAAAATTGAATTAATATATTTTCTGTAACACCAAATGTAATAATGAATTGACAGTTCTTACCTCTTGGGTACTTGATTCTGTTATTGTTGAGATGACCTGCTGAATAACAGATAAGAGTAAATTACAATGATATTAATTTTAGAATTGAATATAGCTTGCTGTGATTGGTTGAGTGACAAGTGATTTTTGAAAATACTTTTTTGTTTTTGAGGGTCATAAGTTACGTAACTAATACCCCATTCACACCTAAACGTGTTTAGTTAAACTCTGTCAGAGCAAGACAAGGGATAGTTTACATGCATTATTTCACCAAATATTGTGCAGTGTTCGTAGATAGTTTTCCAAACCTGTTTAGTTAAACCACTTTAAAACATGTTTAAGCCTTGGTGTGAATGGGGTATAAGAGTGTAATCATGTTAGCCACTAAAGTCACTAATTGTCACTAAAGTCACCTTGTCATTTAGATCAAAATAAAATAAACAGAGACACAATCAAAAGATATAATATCACAAAACTAAGAGTTGTTTTTCAATTAAATTCAGGAATTTTCCTTTGGCTTCCAAGGACAAAAAGAAGCAGCTTCTAGTAGGTGCTGCAGTAGGAACACATCAAGAGGACAAGCAGCGTATAGATGCCTTGGTTCATGCTGGGGTTGATGTCATTGTGCTGGATTCATCCCAGGGGAACTCAGTATTTCAAATAGAAATGATTAAACATTGTAAAGACAAGTACCCAGAACTTGAGGTTAGTATAAACCTTGGACAACCTTCAAATTGGTAAACCCTG